GGGGTACCTTGCCCCAGAGTATCTGCAGTATGGGACAGCAACTGAGAAGACTGATGTGTTCAGCTATGGAGTGGTGATACTGGAGGTGGCTTGTGGGAGGAGGCCCATTGAGAAGGAAGGGGTAAATTTGGTAGATTGGGTTTGGAGGCTCTATTCTCTTGGGAGGATTATTGATGCAGCAGACAGAAGGTTGCGTGGGGAGTTTAAGGAGGAAGAGATGAAGAAACTTTTGGTTGTGGGGCTGAGCTGTGCTAATCCAGATGGCCATGAGAGGCCTTCAATGAGGAGAGTTCTGCAAATACTCAACAATGAAGCTGAGGCTTTGGATGTCCCAAGGGTGAAGCCTACTTTGACATTCTCCAACAGTTTGCCACTCAGCATTGATGACATCTTTTCAGATGTTGAAGAAGAAGAAGGAGGAGGAGGACAAGAAGTTCAGAAACAAGAGGATTGCTTAGAGATCAAACTTGAAGATTCATCTTTTTCATCCTCAATATCTTCAAACATGCCTAATCTGCAACTCAGTGCTGGTGGGATCTTCTCAGATGATGAAGACTGCAGGAGCCCATTGGAGATCAAACTTGATTCCTTTGAGCAACACTCTTTCCCCAGATATGATGATGAGTGAAGTAAATTCTTGTTTTTCTGCAACTGCTAATATGGTGTTTTTGGTCATTCTTTGATTCCAACAGTTTGTTAGATGACATATAAAGGTGTGAGAGAGCTTTAGGTGCTGAGTTCAAAGTCATTCCATTGAACTCTTGTTTGTTGGTACTTTTTACACTATCTTTTATGGAGATTTAGTAAAGATTTCATTTTTTTTTCTTTTCCTAAGATGCACAAATTGTACTTTAACAGGCTACTACAACTTGAGATAATGTGATTGTAATAATGAGTAAAAGTTGCAACCAAGGAAGGAGTACAAATTTAAAAAGACTACTACAACTTGAGATTTTCATAGATTTCCAAACATACCCTTCAGTGTGCTATGTGTTTCTTGGCTTGAGGGAATAAGGGAAATTAAAGGTCATGACAGATAGCAGAGAGAGCACATTCCCATGAAAAGCAAAAACGCTTTGCCCTTACAAGGATTGTGCTCTCTCTCTTCTGTCAAAACCGCTCTCGTATTACACGTTCACATCCTCAAACGCTCCAAAGCAGCTTCCTTTCAACCTGCCAAAAACGAAAAGAAAAAAGAGAGACAAAACAGGAATCAAGTAAAACATCATGTGCATATTTCATCATTAAAACAGCAGAAGAAGTTTAAGAAATAATGAGGGATACATGGACTGTGCCTCCCAAATGTCTTCCATAACAGCAAGAACAGAAACTGTGAATGTAAGGAGATAGAGAGGAAGATGAAGATGATGAAGAAAGGGCTAAACCTGATGAAAGGCAATATATATAATAATGAAATCTTCTTTGTCCTAAAAAAAAATCTTTAGGAAATCAAAAGGAATTCATGGTGAAAGATGGAGTACACTTTGGTGCTTGGCTAATTGCAGTCACCTGATAATGACTCCCTAACCAGACATGTTTTTTGGTCACTCTCACATTGGTTAGTGTGGAGTATCAAACATTAATTGACCACTCTGATTTTTACTAATGAATATCTTTATAGGAAATTTACGTAAATAGCACTAAAGCATAATGACTTTTCCTAAATAGCATTACATGTGTTTTTTTCTAATGTAGCACTTTTAGTCATTATACATTAGTCATTATTCAAGTAAATGTTCGCCATCACTGAACATTATAGACATTATTAAGTGCTATTTTGGGAATAAAACATTTTAAGTACTCCGTACTATTTAGAGAAATGACTTAAGTTTTAGTGCTGTTTAGTGCAAATATTTCTATCTTTATTTTCATTAACACAATTATATGTCTCGTTTGGGAACACCATTTCAATTAGTATTTTGAATAAATTTTAAATGATATAGATTAACTTTAATACGGAGTATTAAACTAACGTTAATGATAGAGACTCATGCATTATCAATTAAAGTGAAGAGTCATGATTTGAAAGATTTATTTATTTGACATATAATTTTTTGAGACTTTTTAGAAAAATAAATAATTAAAAATCTAGACAGATAGAGAGGGACTAAAATTTAAGTATATGAATTTATTTTGTTGAAATCTTTTATAAAATTTAAATTGAAACATTAAATAACAAGATGGGTACATGTATGTAATCTTGGTATCACATCTCCTGGACTTGAGACAGCTAAGGCTGTAATGCAAAAGCATTATGGCTGCAATGAAAGGATTGTGAAGTTATCACACTGACTCCATATTTATGAACAATTTTTCGATGCTATAAATCGATAGTTACATCTTGGGCCTTTTTATTTATTTATTTATTTATTTATTTATAGATTTAATAGGTCAGGTTTGCATGAGAAATTAAACTTTCCACTCTAACATTATGTAGTGAAAATTCCAATCCATCTGGTAGGTCAATTGCATTTTTTTTGGTATTAATAGCTCTATTATAGTGCACTACTCTGTATTTATTATACCACGGAGTAATATATTTTTGCAACCTATTTAAGGATTTAAATAATTATAACAATGGTATTTTTGTCAAAAAAAATATTTCTGGGTGACACATGTTTTGTTGAAACAATTCACAAATCTCTATATTTTTAAAAAGACATCAAGAGTTCTTACATTTCGTTCACTATTTCGTTAATGACTGTGATAAATTTTTTTTCCCATTTTGTCCCTACTAAACTCATTTTAATTACATTTGTCTTTTATATCAGACAGACAAAGTGAAGAAAAAAAATAAAGAAACTAAAAAGTTAAAGTCATAAACTTTATTAATGGTCATTAATAAAATAATAAACAATATATCCCATTATAGTCTTTACAAAAAAAATATAAGGACCACTGATATTTTTTTTAATAATAGAAGGATAAGTTTCTATATTTTTGTTGAATCACCAAAACTTAGCTTGTGTTTTTTAATCACATAATGAATCATTTTTATTTTACTTTTTACTTAAAAATAATACCAACTAGTTTTTACCCCGTGCTTCGCACGGGCTCGCATATTTCTCTATAAAATATATTTATATGTTAACATAGATATTTTANATTTTAAGTTAACATTTTGGATGTTTGTTAAAAGTTTAATTCATATATGAACATAATATGAATTAAAATTTAATTTTATTTATTTTAATGTTTTAATAATAATATGATATGCATTAATAAAATAAATAATGTAATAAGATAATTTTTTTGAAACAAATCGATTAATTAATAAATATGCATATGTGATTAAATTTACATAATCATTTTTTAAAAAGTATTGAACTAAAATAAGTTGTGGATAGTATAAAAATAATATATATATATATATATATATATATATATATATATATATATATATTATAGAGTATATTTTACAAATACTCTATAATATACTTTATATATATATATATATATATATATATATATATATTATAGAGTATATTTTACAATGATGAAATATATAAATATAGAATTATTAAAAAATGAAAAAGTTTTATGCAAATGTATTCAAAGATCTTTTAAAAAAATTAAAATGGACCAATGAATTGAAATGCATAAATCCACATCATTAGTGAATGCACATGTGGATGCACATGTGGCATGCCACATGTCAACACTACAACAATTGAACTCTCTTTTACATATATATATAGGATACGATCATACCACGGAGTAATAAGATATCAAACAATAATATGTAAACTTGTAAAAAAGGTGTGTAATTTATTTAAATTAATTTTGAAATTTACTTTTTGAGAAAATGAAAATATTTAAAATCATACTCAAAACAAACACGGATTATACACATTTTTTTCCTCATGACCCAAAAGAAAACTCTTTGCACTAACAATTTCATCATAAAATTAAATATTTTCTAAGTAATTTTATTGATCACTCGACACAATAATAAAATTATGCTACATCTTGTTTAGTTGATATCTTTCAATGTATTTTATATATAATCTTTTACACTTTTTTTGGTGTCTGAAAAAAACATTTTCCTATTAACTCTCTTCATCTTGAAATAAACTTTAAACTTTTTTTTGGACGCTTAAAAAACAATTTTAAATTTCTTCATTTTTTTAAAGAAATGATTTTTGAATATCATTAGAGCAGTGGTAATGGGCATGACGTCCAGCCACGTTAAGCTCATTTAAATGCCTGAGAAGTGTTAAACACCGTACCGTCCCCCCTCCTTCGTTATGGCCCGTTAAAATTGTTGCGTCAAATCTTTGACGCGATTTGAAGGTGTTGGAACACCTTCTCCTTTCTTTTTTCTCGCTCCTTTTTCTTCTTTTTTTTCTTTATAAATTAAATAATTTTTTTAAAATTCAACACAAATAAAAATCTCTCTCTATCTATGATCTTCTTTTAAAAAAATTATTATTTAAGTATTTTATTTATCTTTTCATGAATATAATTTTTTATTCAATGAATGTAATTTTTATAATGAATGTAACTTTTTATAGTGAATGTAATTTTTAAATGAACTATTCTCGTTTCAATTCTTTTAAATTACTAAATAATTAAATTTTATTAATTTCATTTTAGTGTGATTCAACTGGGTTGTTGTTGTTTGTTTGTTTGTAATTTCATTTTAGAAGATGTATATTTAAAATGTAAAGAATGAAGATTTAAAGTTCTAGTTTAAAGTCTCGGGATTTCAAATCCATTTCCACATGAGGAGAGAACTATACACTTTGTACCCAAACAAAAAAACAAGATACACTAGATTTTTCAACTTTTTCATTTTCTAAAGCTTCATCAAATTAAACTGATAATATTAGCAACTAGATCTTGTTAATGGGCTTCATCGCCACCTCTCTTCAAAAGGTCTCTCCCTCAAAATCCACGAAGAAGAAGACGGTCATCGGAGGTGAATCTTCTCGCTGTCTCTCATGCTCTCCCATCTATCTTTCTTTGCCGAAGGACTATTATCGGTTTAAAAACACAAGCGCGTTTGGGTTTTTTTCATTATAACCCAATAGACTGTATGAAAAAGGAGGACGTGGAAAGAGTTAAAACATGACTACATGAGAAGCTCTATAGTCCATAGCCATGGCAACCAAGAGAATACCCAATTTATCACAACAAATTTCAAGAATTGAAGCATTCTCCAAAATGGGGTTCTTCAAGAATCCCCCAGAAACTCCCGCCGGAGCTAACCTCGCCACTTCATCAATCAAAAACAAGGCAGCCAGTACACCCACTGTACTCTCTTTCAATATCTTTCTCATGGATTCATAAAGCTAAGTTCTTTCTAGTAGCAGGCGAACATAGATATGCATATTTGTATATATGAACTAATAAAGATCTGTTCTTTGGCGAAGCAGACGAAGGAATTGAGAAGAGCATATATGCAATCTTGACCGTTGATCGCTGGGAATCATTAAATCTGATGGAGTATAAGACGGCTTCACTGAGGCCAGTTCATGGGAGGATGGCTTTGAAGTTCTTGAAATGGTTCATTAAACAGCCAGGTTCAGAGCTCGACCACATTGTTCACATGAACTGTATCACTGCACATATTCTTACAAGAGCTAGAATGTATGAATCTGCCAAGTCAATCTTTAGGGGTTTATCAGAAATGGGTATTGCCTCAAAATCTATTCTTGATGCCCTTATGGACACTTATTCCCTCTGCAATTCAACCCCTTCGGTTTATGATGTTTTCCTCAGGGTTTATGTGAGAAAAGGAATGGTTGAGGATGCTTTGAAGGCATTCTACTGGATTGGGTCTTGCGGAATTACTCCCTCGGTCCACACTTCTAACATGATTCTTGCTGCAATTGCCAACTTCCGTGACACAACGGAGTCTGTTTGGCCATTTTTCAAGGAGATGCTGGCAAAATGTATATGCCCTAATCTGCATACTTTTAACATACTATTACATGTCCTATGTATGTCGGGAAAGCTTGAGAGAGCGAATCACCTGATGAAAAGAATGGAGGAGAGCGGGTACATTCCGGATGTGGTGACTTACAATACGTTGTTAAATTGGTATTGCAAGAAGGGACGATACAAGTCAGCTTCTGAGCTGATTGATCGCATGGCTTGTAAAGGTCTCAAGGCCGATGTTTGTACATATAACATGTTTATAGATGATTTGTGTAAGAACGATAGGAGTGCGAAAGGGTATTTGGTTTTGAAAAAGATGAGGAAGAGATTGATAGTTCCAAATGAAATCACGTATAACACTCTAATAAATGGATTCATGAAAGAGGGTAAGGTGGGAGCTGCGATGAAGGTTTTTAACGAGATGGTGGGTTTTAATCTCTCGCCAAATTGCCTCACTTTTAATGCTTTGATCGATGGGCATTGTCGTGCAGGCATGTTTGAAGAAGCTTTTGAACTTTTGAAGGAAATGGAAGGAAGAGGATTACATCCCAACGAAGTTAGCTTTGGATCTGTCTTGAATGGGTTCTGCAGATATGGGAAGATAGGTTCTGCAAGATACATATTTGAGATGATGAGGAAGAATGGCATAGCTCTCAATAATGTATCCTACACAATGCTAATGAAAGGGTTATGCAAAAAGGGTAAGCTTAAAGAAAGCCTTCAGCTTTTCAATGAGATGATTCGCAGCAATATATGCCCTGATGGTGTCACATACTTGGTTCTTGTAAATGGGCTTTTCAGAGCTAGAAGGATCAAGAATGCAAAAGAGGTAATTTGCAGAATGTACAAAAGTGGAGCTTTACCAAATGAAAACATGAATCATACCTTAGTGTACAACTTCTGCAAGCAGAAGGATATCATCCAAGCTATGAAACTCTACCAAGTGATGCAGGAAAATGGCCATGGTGCTGACCTGTCTCTATGCAATTCACTTATTTCATGCCTTTGCAGATGTGGAAAGGTAAGGGAAGCTGAAGATTTCTTGAGTCACATGCTAAGGATCAATCTAGTTCCCGATTCTGCTTGCTTTGATTCTGTTATTTCTGGGTATGTAAGTATAGGTGATGGCTCCAAAGTGTTATCTTTGTTTGATGAAATGAACAAATTGGGAAACCCCCCTACCCATAACACATATGGAAGTACATTGAAAGGGCTGTGCAAAGGAGGAAACTTTACAGAGGCAATCAAGTTATTTGATGGACTTCGTCATTCTCCTCATTTTGTTCTTGATGTTAGCATCTACAATACATTGTTAGGTGAGCTTTGTAACTTGGGACATTTCAACATGGCTTTGACACTCTTTGACGATATGGTGCAGAATCATGTGATCCCTGATGGCTATACATACGCCACTCTCATCGCCGGGCTGTGCAGAAATGGTAAAATAACTTGCGCAATTCTTCTAATGGCAAGAGCATTAGAAAGAGGAACTTCATTTTCTAACAGGTTGATGTATACAAGTATAATAGATGGGCTTTTCAAGAACGGTTTGCCAGAAGTTGCACTGTGCTTCTACAAAGACATGATAATGCAAGGGTTGAGACCAGATACTGTGGCATTAAACACAATGATACACGGTTACTCCATGATTGGGGAAATGGCTCAAGCAAATAGATTTTTCTCAATCATGAAGGCCAAATCACTGACTCCTAATCTTGATACATATAACAGCTTATTACACGGCCACGCAACGCTGCGAAATATGTCAGAGTGCTTTGGATTATACCGTTCAATTTCAAGAAATGGTCTAAATCCAGACATGTCAACAATTAAAGCTTTGATCTTTGCCCTTTGTGAGTCGGGTTTGTTGGATATCGGGGTCAAATTTGCAAAAAAGATGATAATGGAAGGAGTTGAGATAGATAAAGTCTCATTCAACATGCTAATTGCCAAATATAGTGACAAAGGGGAGATGCAGAAGGCTTTTGGGGTGGTGAATATCATGAGCTCAATCGGCGGTTTTCCTCTGGATGGAGATACTTATGAATCCATGCTCAAGGGACTAAAGAGGAAATCTGATTTCCAAACTTATCGTATCGTCATGCACGAAATGATAAGGAGTGGTACAATGCCCACATATAGACAGTACAGTGGTTTGCTCAGTGGCATGTGCAGAGCAGGAGATGTGAAAGGAGCATTCAAGTTTAAGGATGACATGGAATCTCTCGGAGTTGGGTCCCGCGATATTGCTGACAGCGCCATTGTCAGAGGCCTCGCGCGCCGTGGGAAGCTGGAGGAAGCGACATTCGTGCTTGAATGTATGCTGAGAGTCCAACTCCTCCCAAACATTTCAACTTTCACGACACTAATCCATGGGTTTTGCAAAGAATCTAAACTTTCTGAGGCCTTGGATCTGAAAAACACAATGGAATTTCATGGGATCATGTCCGATGTTGTCCTTTACAATGTACTAATCTCAACCCTCTGTGCCAACAGGGGTTTAGATCGCGCGTTCGATCTGTACGAGGAGATGAAACAGAGAGATGTGTGGGCTAATGTCACCACATATGCTGCTCTTGTTGATGCGGTCCGTTCTGAGAATGATCCGTCCAAGGGTGAAAAACTTTTGATTGATCTTCTGGAGAGAGGGCTGATAGAGCAAGAAGAGATAAGTTCAGAAGTTCTTATGCATGAAAGATTAACACTTGTGATGCAGAGGCTTGATTTCTTGAGGAAGAAAAGGACACATAGGATTGCAAATAGGTGATGGGTTTTGATATTGAATGTAAAAAAGAGATATCTTTAATAGATATGCTGTTGTGCAGTTGTGAATTAAAACAAAATCTCACTCCTTATTTGTCACATTATTGCCTAATTTACCTTCTCTCAGGTAACTTCTATACAGTTCATCTTTATTTTTTTTGTAAGAAAAAGTGTTAAAACAGTTCACACTTTTTCATGTGAGTTTTAGTAAAAGAAAGGTTTCAGATTCATATAAAAATGTGCAATTGTACACTGAGTGATGGGATTGGTAGGCAAAATTTAGGTCTCCATAGTTTTTGCCACCTGACACTTTTGAGAACATCCATGTGAGCATGTTCTCTGTCTGTACTACCCTATGTCCCAACTCCCCCCCCCCCCACCTTCCAAAAAAAAAAGCCTCATCCGTTGGATTGAACGGACCGAGCTCGGATGATATTACTGCTGAGCTCGGACGGTTTGATCCAACTCTTTGGAGCTTTGCAAGAGGTACTTCTAGGGATTAAGACTGGTAATAAGAATATATTTATGGTAAATTGGGTTTATCTCATCCAAAAAGATGGTTTTGGTTCTCAGTTCAAATTGGGGTTAGACAAGTGAATGATTTGTTGGTGGGCATGTGGGGGGCATCTAATTTAGATTCTGCAGCTGTTTTTGGAGACACAATGGAGGGGAGGGCATGTACCAATGGTACTATTACCCATCATTCTTGCCTAACATTCTTTCACTTTATGTCAAAAACTTATTTTTGGGACATCTTCTAGAAGGATGTGTACCAATGGAGCTAGGTGAATACTTTCTATATTCCGTATTGATCTAAATTTCTCAAATTCTTCAGTCCATGTCGAACAAAAAGAGTTGCAAACAAAGATTATTTAGAAACTTTAGTGTGCATTTAGTTTGATTTTTTTTCACGTCAAATCAAATGCCTTTTAATAATCAATTAAATCAAAGTAAATTGAACATTAGAACAATAATGATTTTGGAAATAATTTTTTTTATATACTTCATGGTATAAATATGCGATGTTATAACAACTTAGTAGAATTTCAAATAAAGTTCGGAGAGAATGTGCGCACGCAGACCTTACTCCTATTTTAAGGTAGAGATGTTGTCTTATCAACAACAATACGTGATGTTATTTTTATGTAATTAATCATTAAAGTTTATCCAGATTAATTGAAAAATCAAAATGAATAAATATGAATATTTTGTTGGGACACTTATCAACCAATTGTGCTACACTTTGGACAAAGAGAAATGCCATTTTTAACCTCATGGATGACATAAAAATTTACACCACTAATAGAATAGAATGATACCCTCTATAAAAATTCACATTCTAAAAGAAAATGCTTTTGGACAAGAGGGGAATAACAAAGATATGAAAAGGTTGGGCTTTTTAGTTTTTAGGAACATCACATTTTTCATAGTGTTCACATGCTGGTGGTGGGGACATAAAACGCATGCCATTATTCCTCTCGCCGTTGCCCAAAAAAAGTCTAAAATTCTAAACCACCGCCGCCGCCCCCACGACGGCTCTCCGCTCTACATATATCCCTCCGCCTCTCTACACACCCTCTCACAAATTCTCTCTCCCTCTCTTAATCTTCATTTCTCCCGGCGTCACTTGTATACTCAGAGGATTCATGTCTGCACCGACGGTATGAATTTTGCTTCTTTTCTTCATTGCAGACTGGGTTCGATCCCGGCTACTCGATTTCATTTAGCTTTTTTCTCTAGTAACAAAGATCTTGAAATTCTATTAGGGTTTCTTCGATCTCTTTTAGTGAATCCATTAATTTCTGCTTTCGGATGTGTTGACTTTGGAGCTTATAATTGCATCAATTAGCTGGATTAAGCAGTGATTGAGGTCGCTGGGTTATTGGTTTTTATTCTGTAATTTCTAATTGAATGATGAGTTAAGGCTGAAGATTATTTCAGAATTGAAAGTTGTGTTCTTTACAAGAAAAAAAGGTATTGGTAGGTGGGCAGACTTTGAACAAAGGAAGAATGTGGTTTGGAGATGCTAAGAAGAAAAAGGCATATTCTTTGTATGATTCTTTTTTTTAAACAAAGCAAGAATGTGATTTTAAGATGCTAAGAAAATGGCATCTTGTACCCTGCAAATTCAAATATGGTTATTTGAGTTCAACTACAGCAACAGAACCAGTGAAATTTTGCAAAAAGTAGGGTTTGGGGGAGAGGGTGTTCACGGACCTTACCCCTACTGATATAGTGATATCCATATAGTAAAAATGAACTTTTTTTTACAATAAAATGGTTCTTTCTTCTTTTCTCTTTTTATTTCGAACTCCATGCTTCTTATTGGAGATAAGATTTGCCCCCTTAGGAAGTGTGACAGTGTAAATATTGATAAGATAATAAGAGAAGAAATGGAATCCTTAAGTTAGACTAGCGGCACTTGCACAGAAGTATATAATCGGGGGTTAGTCTCAAAAACTAGACAGACTCAATTTACCTTCTCATGGGATTAGGGAGTATGTCATGAGGTCATCAAAGTTGTCAATGGAAAGAGCTCATTGGTACTGGTAACTGATACTAAACTAGTTGTAGCTGACCCCAACTTGGATGGGGTTTAGTTTTGTAAATTCTAAGCTTCTAACCATGTTTATTACCACATTATGGAAGAGCTTAACAAATTCACTAGGGCAATTTTCTTTGTTTTCCATGGTGTTTACCAAGGGCCAAATTCAGAGGCAAACTTTATCAGTGCAGTGTCTGTTCGCAGTTGCACGACAAGTTTTACCAGTGAATTTGTCCTTTGGTGTACACGAAGCGTCGCCCAATTCATAATGTTGCACTATTGGGGCATACTCTAATCTTCAACCTATTGTGTACTTTTTTTGTTTATATATGTTTCTTCCATTGCTTATCTAATTCTCAGGAGAATGGAAAACCTTTACCAAAGTTCGGTGATTGGGATGTTAATAACCCCTCATCAGCAGAGGGATTTACTGTGATTTTTAACAAGGCCCGCGATGAAAAGAAAACAGGCGGTACGACCGAAGCACCAGGAAAGGATGTTGTCACCAATACTAATAGACATGCACCTAATCCATCAAAACCCCGAGCTGTAAGTTTCCTTTGCATTGCCATGAGAATTTGTTTGTTCTTTAATGGCATTATAGGACTGAAAGGGTCTTTCCCAGCAATAAGGGAGCTCTTATTGATGGTCTATTTTTAGTGATATTAATAAGAAATAAAGAAAAGCGGAAGGAAAAGGAGATGAGAGGCAAAACAATTTTTTTCCCAATTCGGTGATGAAAAGGAGAAACATTTTTCCTTTCCTTTGTTTCTTAATCTCTTGAAGCAAAAATAGCATAAAGAACCAAACTGTAAGATTTATGTGATATCTCTCACATCTTCATACACAGTTTCTATTTTATTACTTTGTAAAAATGAGGCCAAGTCAATACCCGAAGAAAATTCGGGACAGAGGAACTGATTTGTGTCCCAAAATATAGCCTTATTTGAATGAAAGAAGCAAGCTTTCATCATAATTATTGTTTTTATAGTAATATTGAGCGAGTGAAATTTAGTTTTGAGAAGTAATAGGCATATTTGATTATTTCTATTAGGCGTATTTGTGGCCTTTTGGGGGTAGGGACTCTTTTGATGGAACAAATTGAGTATATCGCTTATATACGTTTGAACTTTTTTTGGTGCAGAGTAAATGGAAATGCTGGTAATGCTGAAAAAGGGATCTTGGAGTATCAAAATATGAATTAGGGATTTTCAATATGGAGAAGGGATCAAGAGAGATGGAGACTCTTGTGTTCTTCTGCTGCTCGTATCTATTTTTATCATGTAAAATTATGAAGAACTGAAGATATATATATGCAGACATGAAGATATATCTTTCTTTTTCTACTATATGTGCCTTATATGGAATTTTACATTCTTTTGTGATGCTTAAAGCTAAGCATTTTTCTTTTTGTCTGTAACTATGTGTACTGTATTTCTATGCCATGTTCACCTATGCACTTTGGAGAAGTGGATAGAAAAAATAAAGTGGCATAAATGTATTGCTTCCTTTTCAAAAAAGAAGTGTTGGTTGCAACTTGCAAAAGAGAGATTCTTTTTTTTTGTTGTTCACCCTATTATAAGGTAGTATCTGTTCATACTATTCTCGAGCAATGACACACAAAGAATCAATGTTTTGCCTTTGTTGGAGCTCGAAGCTGGGTGAACTTCTTCATGAATTATGGAAAGTGTGCTGCTTCCTACAACTCAAGCTAGAGAAATTCGAGATTCTTATATCCTAACTCCCTTTGTCCTGTTTGATTTTTTCAACTTATTCCATTTGCTTCTCCCTTTGTGTTGGATATGACTCCATTTGCTTCTCCCTTTGTGTTGGATATGACTCCCTTTGTACAATTTTACTGGGTTTGTCATGGCATTACATTGATGATGTTAGAAACGTAATACAGGGAGTACAAAGTACGGAGTATTAGATTACCTTGTTTGATTTGAGTTTTACACGAAAACCTCTTATTAACCGTTGTGTAGGAAAATAAAATAATGTTAGGGAGATGTGACTACTACATTGACCTTCTTGGCTATGGTATGAAGTGTGAACCAATGAATTGTCGACCATACACTACAAAAACGAATCGAAAACTAAGAGATAATAAAGAAGTTCATATAAGGAATAAGGAAATGCTACAATAAATCCATAAGGTTTGTAAAAACATATAGAATCCTCAGAAGGGAAAAAAATGTTCTTTTAATATCAGAAACAATTCCTTAAACCTGAAGTTTCTTCTTTCTGCAACTATGAACATCCCTGGCCAAGAGATTAAACTCGCGACTGGCCAAGCTTCCGTTCAAACAAACGCTTTAGGAGAAAAACTTGTAAAAAACTAGCGCCGATAAGAGCTGCAGACTCGTATAAAGCCTTGTGAAGTGCCCTCTTGCTCATGCCTTCATTCACTGCATTGTTAGATGTTGACAATGGTGGATCAGAGTTCATCCCAAACCATTCAAATATGCAGGTGAAAGGGAAGTTCACCTGAATGAAACACTTCTTAACATTTAAAGGGAAGTTCACCCTATCCTTAGAACGTTATTTGAATGAAACACTTCTTAACATTTAAAGCCAAATCATACAAAAACATTCCAAATTTGAAAGGGAAGTTTTCAATTGTGAAAAACAGTTAAGAAGCAGTAGGAGGGTAGGAAAACATACCTATAGCTTGTCGGTCGGTCTGAGCCTCTAGCCAATGCTGCTCAAACTGAATATTATATAAAGCTTCTTCTAGCTTGCCAATGTGTTCAAACAAAGGCTTGAAATGTTCTGCCAATGTGACCGTCTAATTAGGAAAAATGGCAGCAACTAAAAGAAGTCTAGACTAAAAGCAAAAGTAATATATGGAGGAATACCATCTTTCGCATGTTCATCGTGGAACATGAAATGACCAGAATGGACATCAAAGTCTATGGTTTCGTGATACGGGGACTTGTTAGTGAAACAGAAGCGGTGAACTCCTTCCTGGTGAGCCACAAACTCTGCCTTTTCGCTTATCTTTTCGCGCATATCGTGAATTTGCTCTCCCGTTGGTCCCTTCACCTGATCATTCAAAAAAAAAAAACATTTCCAACCATAATATATGCGGGTATCTTGCATAAAAATGAATGCAAAATAATTTCCACCTTATACATGTGATGGGTGGTATATTGGGAGTTGGCCCAATGTACCCAACCCATTTATTTATTTGTACAACGGCATAAGATGCCAAGCCCAGTCAATCTTAACGCCAAGAGCAAAACCTTCCTCAATCAAAGGCTTGGATGCCAAGCCCAACTACTCACATTCTGCCACATAACCCACCCCCATCTTCCCCCTATCCCACCACACTTCAGAGGTGGGCATAGAGGTAAGGGTGGGTAATGTGGCAGGATGCGAGTGGTGGGACAGGGAGGGGGAGACAGAGGATCCAAGCCCCCACCTAAGCAGCAAATTCTACACCAAGATTTAGTCCGAAAAGCCGAGAAAAAACAGCAATCAAAACTATGATGTCCTAAGTTCCAACAGACATTGAAGACTAACTGATATGTTCAAACAACAGCACAATTAATTGCACAGAGAGTTGAACAAATCTGCAAATCTATGAAACCTAAAAAAGAGGAAAAAGAAAAGAAATTTTTACCACAAGATCAACCCCATCTTCCACGTAATTCCAGGACTTCTCGGACTTGATCACAACAAAAGAAAAATGAACAGTGTCCCCCAACGCCACCTTGTGCGAGAAGCACTCCTCTCTGTCAATCACGAATCTGATCCCGTGGGCCCCTCCGGCGATCCACATCAGCACCACCGCCGCCGCCGCGATCCAGCCACACGACGGAAAAGCTCTCACCTGCAAAAAATTTCAAGAATCCATCCACTTTTTTCGTTTGGGCATGCCCCGAATGAAAAGAAGGAAATCTGAAGGGGAAGGGTTTTACCATGTCTGGGGGGAAATTGACGATCTTTGGTTGGACAGGAGAGAAAGAGGGATTGAAACCTTGGAGAACAATTGAACAAAGGTTACGATGTAATTTGTACAAGTGAAATGCGTGAAGTGTTGTTTCTACTGTCTATGGGATTGGGGGTCGGAAACGCAAGTTCCTGTTCTTGGGCTGTACTTGTCTCCAAGGTAGACCTGGCAAAATAGAACCGGAACCGATTACACGAACCGAAATATCTGAAACCGAAACCGAAATGACCCGAAAGATGAAGATCCGATCTATAACCAAAAACCCGAAATGATCCGAATCGAACCAAAACCGAATTAAATAATTCATATCCGATTTAAATCCGAAACCGATTAGATCCGAAACCGATAATATCCGAACCGATTAAACCCGAAACCGATTAGATCCGGACCCGATAATACCCGAAACCGATAAAATCCGAAACCGATTAGATCTGAAACCGATAATATCCGAATCCGATTAGAACTAAAATTGATAAATTCAGAACTATGTTTGCCTTTCAATAAGCATATTATATTTTGAAATTTTTACTTTTATTTTACCATTTGAACTAATTACATTACTTGCTCATTCCCTCATAAAATGAATTATCTTCTTGAAAAAAAGTACAAAATTTTATGCCTTAAATTTATTATATGTAGAGATTAAAGATAAGTTATACATATAAATGATAACACACAAACAAATAAAATTTCCGTAATTTTTAAACAGTGAAGTATGATATTCTTTTTGGGACGAAAGGAATTTATGCTGAATTGTATGGAATAACTAGATTTTATCCTGATTTCATCTCATTACAATAAATTTTATTGTTTTGAGAGTTAATTTGATTAGTTTCAAACCAATTCATTCAATATTAGTCAATAAAATTAGATGCTAGTGTTAGCATTTTGAAAACTCTCTATCGGCAGTCTTTACTGTTATCATTTTCAAATTTGATCTACACCATTACATTTAGGTGTAAAATTAATTATATTTGACTGTATTAAATTTAATTTTCTCTATTTTCAACCAAATATACTCAATAATTTACAAATTTTGCACTCAATTGAATAAAATTCACTTAATTTCACCCAATTTTACTCATTTTTTACCAAATTGTATTCAAATGGAACATAATACTATTTGAATTTATCTTTTATCCTTTCATTTATATACATAAGTATATTAGTAGATGTGAGAAAAAATTTATATTTCAAAACTAAATTTTAAAATCAATTTAAATATATTAAATTTATATCATAATTAAATATATATGTTTTCATAATTTGTAGTCTAAATTTGTAAAATATGACTAAAAAGTCATAAAGGGAAGATTATTTAGGGTAGAGATAATATAACTAGAAAAAATATAAAATAATATGAGGTATTGAATTAATGATAGATTGATAAATGTGATAAAACATAAAAAAAACACGGATAGTTAAATTTTAATTAGAAAATAATATATATCCAAAATATATTTGATCCGAAACCGAAATATATCCGAACCGAACTAGACCCGAAACCGAAATATATCCGACTCAAATTGTATCCGAACCAAAATCTATCCGAACCGATTTATAACCGAACCGTATCTGAACCGACTCGAAACCGAACCGAACCGAAAAATGTATAGAACCGAAATCAAATCCGAACCGAAATTTAACTGATCCGATCCGAACCAAACCGATTATAACATATAACCGAAAGATATCCGAACCGAAAAAATCCAACCCGAAACCGATCCGGTTGATCCGATTGCCACCTCTACTCCGAGGTATGAAACGACCCACGCTATCTGTCTTCTCTTTGTATCGATATTAGGGCACGTTTGGTTACACACTTTAAACTACCCGGATGTTTTTAGTCTTTCTAAAAAGTATTAGGAGTACAAAAATATTAAGGTCTCGTTTGGTACACGGAATTCAAACTATGGAATTGAAATTGAAGACTTCAATTCCAATTCTAGTGTTTGATAGCACAAAAATTATGTGGATTTGAATTGATAGTGTAAAAAATGAATTGGAATTGGTAGAATTTAATTCTATGGAATTAAATCTCATAGAATTTCAATTCCAATTCTGTCAATTCCGTATACCAAACGGACCCTAAGATTCATTGTTTGTTATTTTAATGTATCATTTAGTTTATATAATTATTTTTAGTTAGGGACTCTTTAGAAATAGCGGTATTGATTAGAGTTAGCATTTTAGATAAAATTTCAACGATTTAGATTACATTGAAAACGCTAATGTTAAACATTGTTCGTAGATGATAGTCTTTTCAAAATTCTAACACTATATATCCAAACAGGCTCTTAAAGTGGTTTGAAATTTTTTAAAATTTTTGTTAATAAAGTCAAAAGTGCAAGTACATGCTTGTTTAATATTTTTTTCAAATTTTAATGGGAAGATTCACGTTAAAACTAATAGAAATATGACATTTTACATTTATATTTTGAAATTTCATTATTCATGTCATTACTTCAATGAAGTAAATCAATTTACATGGTCACTGTGTGTTCTAACTCTGACCAGATATAATTTATGGTAAAAAATTTCATGAATCTCAGTTTCATTCTAATTCTATGAGCCTTATATTGATGTAAACTCATTAGTATTGGCATTGGGATTGGTATTGGAATTATGATTAAGATTAGGATTACACACATTAACATTAAACACATTAGCTTAGTGAAACTCCCACATTAACTTCTGATCTGAACTAATTTCAAAAAATAAAAAATACGTAGTAATAAGAATCACTTGAAGAGGGTATTACCTAAGTTGACCTTTATTACCTCTCTTTGGATAAAATCTTGGATAGGGGTGGACAACATTTTGAACTGATTGTATGTAAGTTAGGGCAATTCACGTTTAGGTCCAGATAAAAAAACTGATCGAATGGATATTAGGTCGGTCTTCGGTCTAGAAAATTTAGATGTTCGGATTTAAGTCCGGTCCTGTTTAAACCTGAAATGATTTAGGTCCGGACCGATTGTACCGAATGGACCTGACCTAATAATCCTACTGGATCTAAAAGACCTAAATACTAAAACTCTACCTTTTAAGTTTCGTATAACACTTTAATGTCCTATTTTAATAGATATCTTAATTTATTTAATTTAAAAGGTTTTTATTAAGTAATTTTAAAAAAAGTTAATAAAAATGTTTCACATTAGTTTTTATGATTATACATAGAGATCCATATTGTGTATCTATTTTTAGGTTGCCTATTGTTTTCTATTTGCACGGTACAAAGTAAAAAGCCTAAAACATATTTAATTGATCAAAATAATTTAAAAGTATGTATTTTTAACCGGTCCAATCAATCCGAACAAGTTCGGTCTTAAATAATCCGGTCCGATCCGGTTCAAACCCGAATAGATTTAAGTCCGATCTTCAATCCTTGATTTTATTCAATTCAGTCTTCGATTGGTTCTAGTCGGTCTGGTTCGGTATGGTCTTGGACCGGTGAAGAGCCCTATAACTAGTATAGGAGTGGACAACATTTTGATTTGGTATCGAGACCTTATATTCGGAAACCACTTAAGGATTCCAATTAGGGTTCTAATTTTTAGTAATTGGAATAGATGATCCTGGTTTCAATTTATTTGTTAGTTTTTTTAAGCTTAATTTTTCTTGGAAAACATTTTCCTTTGAAAAATATTCTTCATGCAAAATATTTTATACCCAATCAAACACAACTTTTTTTCTTAAACTAATAAACTCCGTTTAAATAAAACCAAAACACTTTATTTGATTTAATTGAATTTCAAAGAAAAAAAAAATACTCCCTACTCTGTAGTACCGGCCTCCGGCGCATATAGAGCTGAGTCAGCTGACATTTCATTTCAAACGGTTAAGTCGTTAACCAATAGCCAATACTCCCTCCAACAGCAAGTATCAAGAAAGATTTTCTGAACAGAACCCGCCCGTTCTCCTTTCATCAGCACCAAGAAACTCGACGCAGTAATGGACAATCCAATAATCGTGCCGGAAGGAACCGCCGGAAAAGTCATAAAATGCAAAGGTAACTACTTTATCCGATCAAAGATTACAGTCTTTTTCACGTTGACGAGAGCTCTGACGATTCAAGAAAACGGCATTCCGCAGCCGCGGTGGCATGGAGACCCTGGGAGCCGCTGACGATTCAAGAGGTGGAGGTGGCGCCGCCGCAGAAATTGGAGGTTCGGGTCAAGATTCTCTTCACTTCCCTTTGCTCCGGTGACGTTTTAGCCTGGGTTTCCGAGGTAATTCCATCATTTCCGTTTCTTCTAGGCTTAATTCCTCTGTAAATCTTTTCAAGAACAGAACTTTCTGGTTCGATACTGATCAGGGTTTCCCAAATCCCTTTCTTGATTTCTATCAGGGTCCATTGTTCCCCAGGATTCTTGGACATGAAGCAACTGGGTATTGCAATTTCGTTCTAATCATAAACCGTTATTTTTTATATCAAGAAAATAATCAAATTTACTGAGTATTCTGTGACTGATTAGGGTTGTGGAGAGCGTGGGAGAGGGAGTGACAGAAGTCGTCCCGGGGGACAAAGTAATGATGGTTTACACTGGGGAATGTGGAGAATGTGCCCACTGCAAATCTGAAGAGAGCAATTTGTGCAGTCTTCTCAGGCACAAGACTAACAAGGGAGTGATGATCCAGGACAATACATCTCGCTTTTCAACCGAAGGAACTCCGATTTATCATTTTGCAGGGGCGTCCACATTCGTCGAATACACCGTGGTTCATGCTGGTTGTGTTGTTAAACTCAATCCCCTTGCTCCTTTGGAAATGGTTTGTGCATTAAGCTGTGGGGTTGTTGCAGGCATGATATTTTCTGGCTCAAAGTTGTTTTTTTTAAATTATATTTTTTATGGCTTTGTTCTTGTTGTTTACCATCTTGGTGCATCATTGGCTTTTCTGCTTGTGTCAATGTAGGTTTGGGTTCTGTCCTTAATGTTGCCAAACCGAAAGAAGGCTCTTCCGTGGCCATTTTTGGCCTTGGAGTAACAGGACTTGCAGTATGTGCCTTTCTTTATAATAAAGTTTCCATTATAGTTATGTTTTGTAACTTTCCAAAATGGTTTTCCCTTGAAATATTCAGGCTGCAGAAGGAGCCAGAATAGCCGGGGCTGCAAGGATCATAGGCATTGATGAAGATCCTAACAGACGCGCAAGGGGTAATAAGATTAGTTCTAATAATCATCATGTGTTCTTTGTCCTTTGCAATCGATCCATAAACGATCTATAAATGCTTTCTTGATGTACTTTGATTGGATGCAGCGCCCGATTTTGGTGTCAACTGCACTCTCAACCCTTCGCTTTATACTGTGGCGATTAAAGATGTTTGTTTCTCTTGCTTGCTCCATGAAAACATGTTTCTACATCATATCGTATGTGCTTTGATTAGATAGCATGTTGAGAACTGTGTGCCTTTTGATCATGTATGTGTCTTTAGGTCATTGGTGGCATGACCGGTGGAGGGGTGGACCGAAGCATTGAGTGCAGTGGTGACCCAAGATACATTCTCTCTGCATTCGACTGCCTTCACACAGTAAGTATCACTCTGTCCCGAATTTCGAACCTCAAAAGTTTTAATTTTTTAAACGAGCAAAAACAATTGTGTTTGGTTGTAAACTTGTAATAATGAAACAGAGTTGTCTGCTAATAACTGTTGTAGGGATGGGGCGTTGCGGTTCTGAACGTTGTGTCGCGAACTGGGGATGAGTTTAGGACTGACCCAATGAATTTCATGGGGGAGAAGACACTTAAGGGCTGCTTCTTTGGGAACTACAAACCGCGGTCCCATCTTCCTTTGCTTGTGGACATGATCATGAACCAGGTTAGTCCTTGTCTCTCATCTCCTCTGGTTTCATGAAATTTGTGTTTTAGATGCTCAAGATGGCATGTTTTTTTTTCTCTTGTTTGGTTCAGGAACTTGATCTGGCCAAGTTTGTGACTTATAGGTTTGCTTTTGATGAGATTAAGGAGGCCTTCAAGCTGTACGAGGATGGAGAAGACGTGCTGATCTGCATCATCCGCATGGGAGAGTGACAAAATTCAAACTATTTGGCGTTTCTCTGGCACAGAAAACCATGTTTCGATTTGTTCCACGACGTAAACCAAAGTCTCTTGTTGTTGTTATTGTCTTCACGATATTCAATGCAATGTTCATAGCAAATAATAACCTCGGATTTATCATGAAGCATTGCATTTTGTGAATATACACACCTCAGTTTCATTGCTTGCTATTACTCTAGTTAAGTAATCTTTAGTTTGCTTAGTGCTTATGGAGCAACACACCACATCTGCAATTACAGGGCTTGTTTGGGAATAACGTTAGAGTTTAGCGTTATTTGGGTGATTATAGTATTGGAGAATAGGCCCCATGTTGCCTGGATTCACTATTACTTGCTGGCCACCCTGCTGTTGAAGGCACTGAACTTATACTGTGAAGCTCTGCAAAAATGGCACATAGACCGGTCCGGGTCACCCACAATGTGGCTGGATGCTTTGTTCTACGCATCCAGTCTGCTGAGGGCAATCTCTTTCTACACCGCGGTGCTTGTGATCGGATACACCCAGTGGCAGATTTTGAGGCCGCGATTCCGACTTCGGGCAAGGGACAAGGGTGTTTTGGCCATTTTGGTTTCGCTGCAACTGGTGGCGAATGCAGCCCGCGTGATGAGTGACAAGGCAGCTGGCTTGTATGGCGAAACCTGGTGGCTGCCCGTGTTTGCGTTTGTGAACTGTGTCTCTCTGTGGCTGTTGGTGTTCTCTCTTTGGTCTGCGCTGAGGAACCTGCTGAGAGTCCGGACCCATAAGAGGGCTACGGTTGTGTTGAAGAAGTATGAGCTCTTCCGTCACTACTTCACTGTGGTGGTGGTATACATTCTGTTCGGTCCCATATTGGAGTATTTGCTCCTGGTCTTTTCTTCTTCTCGCGAGTATTATTGGCTTATTTCCGTGGCTTTGGAGTCGGTCACACTTGCATTTTATGCCTATACTGGATACCTGTTCGCTCCCAGGAAAAGCAGTCCTCATCATCATCACCACCAGTGCTTGCTGAGGGAGGATGAAGAAGCCGCCGCGGCTATAAGGTTGGGTGAAGAAGAAGATGATTATGCCAGACTATTCTCTCTGGTGTGAAGCTAGCTTTGGCACTTCTGTTAATAATTTATGACTTACTTAGCTTGTTAGGACGGAGGCTCTGGCTGGCTGGCTCCCTTATAACTTACTTTGTTAGGCTCTGTCTCTGGCTCCCTTATTAGTCGCTCTAGCTTGTATGAACTCACTCTTCCACATCCGGGAATGACATAGTATATATTTATATTGGGTCACTTTTGTCTTAAATTTATTTTATTTTGGCTGGCCTTTTGGTGATAAATATCAGATTGTGCTACAATAGTATTTTGATTTTGCTAGAAAAACAAATCCAAAAGAACTAACAAAATTTGCACCAGGGAACATGGAGATTTTCTTTTAGTTGTGTTTCATCAAAAGTTGCACCATGGAGATTATGCATCCCTAGGAGTATATAACTAAAATTAATGTGCTTTCAAAAAAAATTAAAATTTCCCCAATTAAAGTCACCTAATTGAAAAAATTCATTATTAAAATTCCTTTTACATACTATTGAGAGAAGTAAATTGTGATTAAACAATGTAATGTAAATTACTTTTTCTGATTAAACAAAAGTATCATTATTTAAAAATGATAATAAAAATAAATAAACAACTAAATTCTTTAAGACAAAAAGTAACTGAATCAAAACTAAATTATTATAAAATTTATTGAATATGTAACTTTTTATTTTTGTACCGATTTTCGAATAAAATAATTTTAAAAAAATATTTTACCTTGTAAATTTTAAGTGAATTTCATTTGGGGAATGAGAAGCTAGCTATCATTTAGTCATTTATTTATTTATTTATTTTGAAATAGTCAAAAGCCATCTGAAAAGTCAATATCCAAACATGCCTTTGTGTTTTTTGGCCAAATAAATTCAAAAACGAATTTCTTAGGAAAAAATAAAATTTTTTAATTTGAGACAAATGATGTTGTCCGTGTATACGTTCTTCTTAATTTATTTCATTGGATTTTTATTTCAAACAAACAAAATTTTAATTTTTTTAAAATTAAAAGAAAGTTTTTAAAAAAACATTAAACATTTACGAAAAAAGAAAGCAAATGAGAGAGGCAATAAAGAAGAAAAAAAGAGGGGGGGGGGTGTCATTTTATATTTTTGAAACAACATGAGACACGAGAATTATTTATTAAAAATTTGAATGATATTTTAGTGGAAGAGACATTGGCTTAGAACTGTCAGAATGAGTATGGAGAAACGGGAGATACTAGGAGTACACTAATTTTTGTAGTCAAGGAGGAGGTGAGAGACATTTGGGGTACAACTTTGATGTACCCCTAACATTTTACGAGAATACCACATGTTTTGAATACATGTTTTAATGGTGCACATTTACGTAAAAATCAAATCACATGGGAAACATTGATTCAACAAATTCTTATATAATACTCCCTTCATTCTTATAAATTGATTTGAATTAGAAGAAGATTGAATGGGATGGAAGAAGATGATGCGCAATTAAACCTAAATCCTTCTTCATTAATGGAGATCAGAATTGCGTGCTTAGGTTATATACTACGGAGTATAAATACATACACGAGATGCCCGTTGCTTCGTCAGCGCCGCCGTCGATGGATACCCCAGCCGTCGTTGTGATTACGTTAGTCCTGTCCCTGACTATCACTCGCTCCCCTTTCGTCGCCGGAGAAATCAAGCACACTGAGATCCGGGCAGATGGCAGGTCGGTGATTAGTCTAAACGAGTTTTTCTTCACCAGGGGCGGCGGGCAATTGGAGCTCAACATCACCCGCCTCTCCTTCCTCCCTGCGCCGCCGCCCGACCCGGCCTCCCTCTCCAAAATCGGCTTCGTCCTCTTGCCGCCCCTCACATGGACAAAACTGTTCAACCCCCTCACCTGCGCCTTCGATTACCCCGACGCCCACAAGGTGCTAACCCTGGATCAGATCCCCACAGCCGCCTCTGCCGAATGGAATCTTCTTCTCCCCTCTCCCCCACCCAACTACCGCAAACTGGTGTTTGCAAATTGTCACTCTTCCGAAGTGAAGGTCTCCCTGAATGTCCGCGTGGAGAGCAGAGCTGGAAAGCCTCCCGCAATTAGTCATCTCATGGGTGGCCCAGCAGTACCCAAGATTCATTTCCAGTTCTCCAAGGTTTACGTTGCTTTGGGGGTCATTTGGATTGGGCATGTACTGCTCAACAAGAATAGGCAGCACAATGTTGGATGGATCCATTACCACATGCTGGCTACCTTGCTGTTGAAGGCCCTGAACCTGTTCTGCGAAGCTAAACAGAAGTTGTATATTGAGCGAACCGGATCGGCTACATGGTGGTTGGATTTCTGGTCCTGGACATCAAGTATCTTCGAGACATATTCTTTTCGCACTGCAATATATTTAATTGGATCACTTGGATGCACTCAATCGCAGCTAAGACTAGATGAATTTGAAAAGTTTGTCCTTTTCCCGCTTTTGGGTGTCTCACCATACCCTTGGTTCTTAGTGTTTGCACTGCAATCTTCTTTGTCTGCCAAGAAGAAACTACTGGTGGACCGAGCTAATCATAAGAGGGCTACCATTGTTCTGAAGAAGTATGAGGCTATCAGCCATTACATCAACCAGATGGAATGGTACTTTCTCATTGGTCTTCACTTGGAGTTCTCATTCACCCTTTCGAAACATTCATTTCCAACCCATTTGGCTCTTGTGGCTTGGGAGCTTAGAACACTTGCACTCTATGCATACACAGGGTACATGTTGGCTCCCAATGAAGACAATCCTGATCATCAACACCTTGTGATTAACGATGATGAGGAGAAGGCTGCAATTAGAAGGCTGAATGCCATAGATAAGGAGGAGTATGATCGTAGATTTATTTCTAATAGTATTCTATAAAGTTAGTGCAATTACAGATGTGTTGCAATTTTTTTTATAGATTTGATATTTTATATAAAAATTGAAATTAAAGATGGAAAAATAAGTTAAGTTGGAGTAGATATTAAAGTTGTCATGATAGATCATCGATATATGGTGGTGTCAATAAAATCTCATAGACTCGTGTACATAAGAATATAATACTCCTATATAGGAAAACTTCTTAAATTACTCCTAGGTCACTTACGTAAACCCTCGTTATTGAACTTTGGTGAGGTGAACTCATTTTAATATCCTCTATAACTCTTACTCTCTCCATCAGAATAGATTGTCATAGTTTGATTTCTTGAGTCAAACTATGACATACTTTGACCACAAATTCAAGAACCAACTCTGACAAACCCCAAGCCTTTCAGGCTAAGAACTGATGTAAGAAATTCTACACTTTGGCTTTAGATTCGTGCGTTACATTGTCAATATATTTGTTCTTTTTTGATAAGTTACCACGAGTATACTATGAATGTGCCAGATATTTTTTGTACTTTAGGTTCTGTTTGGGAAGACTGCATTGGCATATCTGTAATGGAGGTTTGAATTATGTTATTGAAGAATCTTGGATTTTATTATGGGACTGATGAATAATGTGTCCTCCAATTTTCAGGCTACAGAAGGTGCAAGAATTGCTTCTAATTTATAATAAATTGTGGCAAATATGGAACACAGGGAGGGTGGGGATTGACACGGCCATAGTTGTGGAGGCGAGGATAATTACTGGCTCTTTCTTTGGGAACTGTTAAATTTCCGGCGGGCCGATAACAACGGATAGAGTGTCGGGTAAAATTAACCACTTGCATTTAAAGTCAGGATCCACAATTCTAATCCAAAAGCTTAAGCTAATAGGTAGGGCTTCACCCTTCAATATATGCAAGTGATACTCATCTTTATTTTCCGATGTGGGAACTCCAACAGGAACTACAAAGCCCGGTCTCAGCTGCCTAAACTTGTGCAAATGTACATGAACAAGGTATGTATGATACTATAGCTCTGTTTCTGTCTTTTTGTTATGGATGAATGAATTGTTTATTTGGATGGTTTTGGAACAGAAATTGGAGCAGGACAAGTGTATAACAGAGGAAGTGGCATTTTCGGAGATCAGATAGGCTTTCGATGGGTTCGTGAGATGGGAGCAGGGCCTTCGTCCGGTGATTCGAATGCAGGAGTAATGACCGCAAAAGAGAAACACAGGAGTTCAATTGGTTTGGAAAACAAGTATAGTCTTTTAAGTCACGTTAACGACTTAGCGTTGCATGATTGGCTCTTCCATTAATTTTGTCATTAGTCTATGGATATTATTTTAAAAATATCACTTCGTCTTAAAACTTTTATCAAATTATGAATTTTTACTGTCAACAAGGTTGACTCTTTTTACCAAAATTTCAACTAAAATAAATTTACAAAAAATAGAACTCATTTTTATAAATTTACTGGGCACATGATCTATTCTAGGTTAAGACTTATCTTTGTTACTTTCCCTACAAAAGTCATGACCTTCCGTGTGGTGCCAACACGGTACTGAGTTCATTGGATCGATGCTCCGAAATAGCAGTTTCCATTAGAATGGTATTTCGGACCTTCATTGTTACTCTATGTATTGCCCTAAGAGTTGTTTTGCTGAAGTTATTGCCGCTTTATTTTTCTTTTCATTTTTAATTTTTAGTGTTGAGAATACATTTTTACATAAATATTTATGTATAAATGGAGACATTTCTGAAAAAGCATTAGTGTGATATAGTCCCTCCGTCCCGCTATATTCGTCCACTTTTGACTTTTGGAACTGTTCATCTAAACACTTTGACTCATCAAATTCTCTCAATTTGTAAGCCTAAATATAGTCATGTGTGATCTTGTTTGATTTGTTTTAACATATAGATTATTAATATATAATTTCTATAATTTTTTAATATACAAATTACAAGATAAAATGGATTAAAGAAGTGTATTGGATAATATTTAAAAATGAAAGTGGACAAATAGTCTAGGATGGAGGTAGTAAATAAGACTCTTGTTGGTTTTTTTTGTTTTATGCATATGGTTACTGTGGAGTTTCTCGAATTTGTGTGTTGTGCCGTGTGCGTATGATATAGGGGGTGAGGACTTGCACAGTTGCACTCATACGGTGTAAAGTGCAAGGGCATTTTTGGGAGTCAATGCCACTTCTTTCTTTTCTTAAATACGTAGTATGTACTAAAGTCAAAACGAGCGATATAAAATAAAACGGAGTGAGTAGTACTCCGTATCAAATACTACCTCCGTCCTGCTATATTCGTCCACTTTTGATTTTTGAAACTGTTCATCTAAGCACTTTGACTCATCAAATTCTCTCAATGTGTAAGCCTAAATATAGTCATGTGTGATCTTGTTTGATTTGTCTTAACATATAGATTATTAATATATAATTTCTATAATTTTTAAATATACAAATTACAAGATAAAATGGATTAAAGAAATGCATTGGATGGTATGCAAAAATGAAAGTGGACAAATATAGTGGGACGGAGGAAGTATATGTGTATTTTAAAGCATTTTAAAAAATCATACGGACATGTAAGTATGTCATATGCATATTATACATACAATACATGCATTATATGCGTATACATGCTATCTAGAGGTGCCAATCACATCAATGAGATCGATTCTAGTTTGGAATAATTTATTTCAAAAATCTTTCGGATATATGTTGTAATAGGTTTGGTTCGGATTGTTTCAATTTAATTTTGGTTCGGATTTAATTTGATTCCATACATTTTTCGGTTTCAGGTCGTTTCAGATTTGGTCTAAATGTTATTTTGATTCAGATATATTTCGGTTTAGTTATATATCAGGTTTGGATATATTTACGTATTATGGGGTACTTATTTTCGAATTAAAACTTAATTATTCATTAATTTTTGTCATATCGTATTTTTCAATCTATCTTCAATTCATTACACTATACTCCGTATTATTTTATACTCCCTTCATTCTAAATACGAGTATTTTATTTCTATCTTCTTAGTCATAATCTTTTATAAATTTTGATTGTGAATTATGAAAGAATGATATATTTAATTCAGATATAAAATTAATATAATTGGATTACCAAATTACATACAATTTGTTTGAAAGATGCTCAAATTGAGTGAATTTAAATGCAATTAGATTACATTTGAGTGCAATTAAATGCAATTTAAAGCATATGTTTGGCCAACTACACAATATTGCATGAGAAAATGTGAAAAAAATAGTTTTAATCGTGATTTAGTTTGTATAAATTTTAATTAACATGTTTTATGTAAGTTATAATGTTTTTTTATACCAATTTAAAAAAATTAAAATATACTCACTCCGTCCCGGAGTATTCGTCCAGTTTTGACTTTTTGAACTATTCATCTAAGCACTTTGACTAATCAAATTCTCTCAATGTGTAAGCCTAAATATAATCATGTGTGATCTTGTTTGATTTGTCTTAATATATACTCCCTCCGTTTTTTAAAACACTTCCTCTTTCATTTTTTTTACTTCCAACAAAACACTTCCACTTTCTATTAAAAAACCACTTTTACCCTTACTTTTTCATACCTTACCTATCACATCATACTTTATATCTAATAATCTATCCATCACATCTTACTTTTACCTATCACATCAAGGGCAAAATTGGAAGTCAACTACAATTTAATACTTTCTTATTTTTATACAAANGTTTGATTTGTCTTAATATATACTCCCTCCGTTTTTTAAAACACTTCCTCTTTCATTTTTTTTACTTCCAACAAAACACTTCCACTTTCTATTAAAAAACCACTTTTACCCTTACTTTTTCATACCTTACCTATCACATCATACTTTATATCTAATAATCTATCCATCACATCTTACTTTTACCTATCACATCAAGGGCAAAATTGGAAGTCAACTACAATTTAATACTTTCTTATTTTTATACAAAGTCAAAATAGGAACACTTTTTCCAAACGGAGGGAGTAGATTATTAAGAAATAATTTCTATAATTTTTTAATATACAAATTACAAGATAAAATAGATTAAAGAAGTGTATAGGATGGTGTGTAAAAATGAAAGTAGACAAATACTCTGAAACAGAGGTAGTATGAATTTTATGTTTTTATTTGCTATGGTAATTTATTTTGGATATATAGAGTAAATAATATAAGTAAGTAATTTATTTTAGATTTAATTCAAGAACTCGGTTATAAATCGGACTTTTCGAATTACTTGAATTTCAGTTTTGGATTATTGGGTAATATCACGGTTTGCCGCTTTGCCCATTGCTTCCGTCCCAAATCCCAATTGAATATCACGATTTGTATTTTCAATTTCTTCCGTTTCGCGATTTTGACCTGCCCTCTCAAATTCACAAGGTATGGTGATGCCAATAATGGCATTATATTAAATTTGTCTCCCCCCCCATTGTTCCATCTCTATTTCTCATCCCAGTTTTTCGATTCTTCGTCCCCCCTTTACATAATTCACGAAAAGGTGTTTGTTTTAGACTGGTAAAATCTTCAAGGTTCTAACTTTTCTCCTTTCTGAGTTTGGGATGTTCTTGAATTCCTTTTTTTTTTTTTTTGCAGAACTTCAAGAGCTTGGTGAACTTAGGGCTCTTTGTTGGGCTCTTTCCTAAAGGATAAATTTTGATTTTGGTCATTCTCACTCTTCTGTATGTGTTTTCTTTATGTTTCTAATTTTGTTTACGGTGCAGTTAATTATTGAAAGTCCAAATCTTTACGGGAAAAAACATGTGGGCATTGTTGAGTATTCACGATTCTTGTTATGTTAGGTTGCCTATGCTGTTATTAATACATACTTTATGTTTGTGCATTGCGTTTTTTTTTCCTTCTAAATTTGGCCCCAAAGGAAATACTTTTAAGCCCATTCCATTATGGTTTTCTTGTTTGGACTAGCTTTTACTAGGAGTAATTCAAGATAGAGTGTGCAAAAGTAGTAAAATTACTGAGTTTATAGTGTTAAATCTCTAGTAATCCAAGCTTATTCGTCGTCATTTGTGCTCTTCCAACATGTGACAACCCAGAAAAAACATAGCCAAACTCACACAATCTCCCACACACCCCAATATGGGCCATCCGTAGAAGATATCCAAAACCAATAACAGCACATTCCCCATGTGTGCTGCTACATCTGACTCACACATGTAAAATGCCCCAAAAATCTGCAGAACCTTGCAAACACCAAAATGAAAAGGCTTGTTGTTGTTTAGGTACCAATTAATCTCTAGAAGCTAAGATTAAAGTCCATTCAGTGTCAAATTTTAGAAGAAAAAAAAAGCACTTAGATTAACTAGTAATTCCATATGATATCACCCTTCATGGTCTTCTAGTTTGGGCAATAACATGTACTACCACATAGTTTGCTAGTGGTTCCTTATTCCGTCTTTTGTTCTGCTCTTGCAGTTCCTTCTTCCAGCCTTCGTGCTGCTCTTGCTGTTGCTAGGGCGTCTTCTTCAGCCGCTGCTCTGGCGGCCCTTATGGCGGTGGCTTTCTTGACATTCATGTAACCAGCCACTAGCAGTCTTGAAAGAAGCCCAACACATTCCACCGCGACGATTCTCAACATTTGGCCTTGGATTGGCATGACAGTTGCCGCAAAATATGTGACGCCGACGACGAAAACGTCTCGCGTGAGGAGGATCGACAGCAAGTTTGAAAAGCACATTTGGGAGGTCAGGTAAATGCAAGTGAGAGCAAAGGACCGCGGGTGCGCGGGGAACCGTCCGCACGCCCACGCGGCGCCCACAGCGCCCACGGTTGTCATAAAAAGCCCGAGACGCGCGAGCTAGTTTTTGATTCTTTCTCTGGCTCCTTGCTCCCCGTGGGCATTGATGCAGCGTGTGATGTGCACTCTCCAACCGTGCTGGGAAAGGATCCATAGTGCTGCGGAGAAGATGCCAAAAAGAATCCTTGCCACTTGTCCAGAAAATGTCCGCAGAATGGTGGGTAGAGCACACCCAAGTAGCACGCCCCATCGAATGATGAATTGACTGAATTCCTCCCAAAATTCGAAGATTGCCATTGTTTCTGCACCAAGACGGTAGAGAATTGATAAGAAGCTATTGTATGCGTTGACAAATGCCTTTTCTTTTTTCTTCTATATCAATTCATACAATTGAAATATTTGCACACTAAAACTTAAGTCATTTTCTTAAATAGCACTTAAATTGTTTTTTTCTCAGTGACGAACATTTACTTAAATAATGACTAAAAGTCCTACATTAAGGAAATAAATACATGTGATGCAATTCAGGGAAAGTCATTATGTTTTAGTGTTATTTAAGTATATTTCCCTTCATACAATAACATACTTGGGTAATGGTAAAGTTACATGAGAATTCTTTTCCATGAGGACTCTTTTTTCTTCTATATCAATGAAATGTGTAAATTATTTGGACACGAAAAAGGTACATGACATAGACTTAACCTCATGTAAAGTACACTAGAGATCTTGGAATCCTATAATCAAAATTGAAACACCTTATTAGTTCATATGTTGCTTTTCAAACAAGTGTCTTTTTTTTTTTTTACTTTTTTGTCATGTGTTGCTTCAAACTCTTAATGGTGATGTCTAATATTACTGTAGATGACCTATAATGTTCTCTTGGCATAATAATTCATGTTTTTTTTATTGAACTTTGGCTATTGTGCAATAAAAAGTTTTAAATTTATATTTTCAATAAAAGGAAATAAATAAACTAATGCATATTGCACTCGGTAAAAATGTTTTTTTTAAATATGACTGTGCATGCCAAGAAAACACTTTCTAATCATTTATAATAAAATTTGACATCATTACTGGCTAAGAGTTTAGAACATTAAGATAAAATTGAAGAGAAGTCTTGAATCTTGATTGAACAGGAAATAATGCAAGGATTAAATTTTTTTAAATTCAGAGTATAAGGACTAATTTGAATAAGTATAAATATGATAGGAACCTCTACAGTACTTTGTCGATAAAACCTCTCATAACTCTCGCGGTCAAAAGAAATTTGAAATTATGGCTTAGAAAGTGAATAAATTTAATTAAAAACTCAGTCACGATTTGAAAATCGGGGTTTCAAAGTGGGTAAATTCTTTGGTGGACATTCGGTCCACCTTGATTTTGTTGACCTTATTCTATACGAATGTGTTAGAAGTGATATACACCAAGTATGCAGACACATATACACAGATAATAATTTCCTGTGTGTCAGACAAATAATTAAAATTTTGTGTGTATCTCTAACACACTTGTTGTACAACAAACTTTATTGCATTCAATTTTTCAACTTTTTTAAAAGTTGATTCGTCTTTTCAAGTTTTTTTATCCACTAAATAAAAATTACGTGAGTAAAGTCACATTAGACCACAAAATCACTATTGTTGAAAGTGAAAAAATTCAATAAAAAACTCCAAAACATGTTAGAGCATACCCTTATTTGTCGAGATAAACAAAGATAACTCGGATGAATTTGAGAGTCGTGGAACACTTTCAGATTGATTATTTTGATTATTCAATCAAAAAATCAATCATAGAAAACTCAAGTTTTCTAGGACAAGTATGAATTAATTGGATTTTCGAACTGTACTTTGGCGATCAAGGATCAACAGATTTTATAGAGTCGCGAAAGGGAAAAAAGCCTGTGGTCATGTCTCTCATCCAAAACGCTTTTCCTTTTGCGTGATTTTGAGAAAAACGGTGCTTATCCTTTTTTTGAAAATTTTCTTGTAAGAAAATTTGAAAATTAAAAATTCAAATGATTTTTAAACATATCACGTTGTCCAACAACTCTGTCCCTTGGACCGCATAGAGGCTGTCGTCCCTTGAACCCTGCTCGGTGGTGCTGCCTCCGAACCTCCGCCAAGGGAGCGCTAGCCCCTTTAAACCCCAGTTAAGACAAGAGTTTTATCATAACAAACTCTACAAAGCGTGTACTACGCATCACCAAATTTTTTTGATGATTATTGTAATATCATTGGTCAAATAATTTTTTTCCCAATTGCACTAAAATATACGTAGTATAACATTATTTGTACTCAAATATTTTACTCCCTCCGTTTCTCAAAAGAGTTCCTCTTTTGACTTTGGGGGAAAATAAGGAAGTGTTAAATTGTAGTTAACTTTCCAATTTTGCCCTTGATGTGATGGGTAAAAGTAAGATGTGATAGTTTAGTTGTTAGTGAAAAAATATGATGTGATAGGTAAGGTATGAAAAAGTAGGGGTAAAAGTGATTTTTTAATAGAAAAGGGAAGTGTTTTAAAAAAACAAAAAAATGAAAGAGGATGAGTTTTAAGAGACGGGGGAGTATATTGGTAACCCAAAATGTACCTTACCTTCTTCTTTTCTTCTTATTCCGTCGATGGACCGTTGGGTTAATTATATGTGAATGCAAGGACGACATGGGCCGCTGGAGTACTTAAGCATGCAATTCTCCATTAATGATGTTTTTGGGTTTAACTCCAGAGGATATTCTTTGGTCCGATGGTAATTAAAGTAATTTATTGCTCCGCACGCGCGCAGCCGCCTCTTGAATTATTAGAGCATTTATCTTTTCCGTATCTTTTTAACTTCGGTATTTTTGAAGAATTATGCATGGTTCACAAACAAAATAGACACAAACTTCACAAACTTATTAATTGTGAATTTTAATAAATAAAATTGAATAGTCTAAAATAAATTTAAAATGAAAAATTAAACCATAAATAGTAAGTTTGTGAAGTTTGTGAGTATCATATTTGTGCATGTAGCATTGCTCATTTTTGAAACAACAATTTAAAGTACATATATTAAGCCCAATGTGTTAGCATAATACTTATCCGTCCCCCAATATTTGTCCAGTTTTGAATTTTGAAACTGTTCATCTAAGCACTTTGACTCATCAAATTCTCTCAATGTATAAGTCTAAATATAATCATGTGTGATCTTGTTTGATTTGTCTTAACATATACTCCCTCCGTCCCAAAAAGTTTGTTACGTTTAGAAAAAACTGTGTCCCGTAAAGTCCATTACATTTCTATTAAAAACCCACTTTTACCCCTTACTTTTTCATACCCTACCTATCACATCATATCTTTTTTCCTAATAATCTACCCATCACATCCTACTTTTACCCATCGCATCAAGGGTATTTTTGCAAAATCAATACCAAAGTATCCTTCCCTTAATTTTCCAAAAAGTCAAACTGTCTCATTCTTTTTGGGACGGAGGGAGTAGATTATTAATATATAATTTTTATAATTTTTTAATATACAAATAGAAATAATCCTAAATAGGACTAAAACATAGAGCAAAGTACCAAAATATGACTTTCATGTTTTTTTTCCGGAATAGGACTTTGCATTGTGGTAATGTGACTTTGCATTGTGGTAATGTGGCAGTGTACATGTGCAAATTACTATACTTTTTTGGTAATGTATATGACCATGTTTAGTAATGTAAGTCCTATTTCGGGAATAAAAACATAGAAGTCCTATTTTGGTATATTTTTAATGTTCTAGTCCTATTTTGGTCTTTCTCCCATATATAAATTACAAGATAAAATGGATTAAAGAAGTGTATTGAATGGTGTGTAAAAATAAAAGTGGATAAATATTTTGGAAGAGGGAGAGTATGAGTTACCACTAGTTTAGTTGTCACATGAGTAGTTTGAGTAGTTTTCCAGACAATTTGTATTAAACATAGATGAACATATTGTCTTACGAGGATATATTAGATTTGGAGTCTATGGAATATGTTTGTATTTTAAAAGTTTATATGTGTTTAATTATCATTATAGAAATTCATCAGAATTCTAGAAGTATTATATTAAGATTTTGTAAAAAGATTTTTTTTTAAATTAAGTGAGAAACACATCTCAATTATATAAAGAGTAATTAGAAAACATATCTCAATTATAAATGAGTATTTAGAGAACACATTTATCACGATAGTAATTTTCACTTATTAAAGATTATTTATGGAAGAGTTTTATTACAAAGGATCATTTTAAAAATTTATTCAAAATGTTTTGTCATAATTGGTGAAAAATACTATTTGGGGAATAGCTTTCAAAAAATTGAAAACTATTTATGAAATATCTTATAACTGGAGACTAAATATAGAAAACTGTTTATAATGGAGATCATTTATGAAATTTACTCTATGTTTTATTACTTAGTCTTTCTGTTCTAAATTACGGAGTAAATTGCATGTTTATTATTTATATAATCAATTTGTATTTATTCGTTTTCTTATTTTCGTCAGTCATTCGATAAAATAATATAATTATATTATTTCTTGTTACGTAGTAGTTTTGATGTGATATTTTTTTTATTTTACGCCAATATTAAAATAAAATATTGTGAAAATAATATCAGCCAAATATTATATATCAAAATAGACAATTTGAGTTAAGACGGAAGAGCTATAAAACCTGATAAAAAATGACATGATTTTTACTTACCTCATACCAATATATTTGGTTTTGAACAAAGAATTGGTTGACCGAACTCATAGTTAATTGAGCCCAAAATCATATACTTTAGGGAGATGCTAGGGTACACCAAAAGTGTATCCCAAATGTACACCATCTCATTCTTTACCATTCATTTTATTTTGTTTTTATTTTTTATTTTTTTTAATTTTACCAACCTTTTTATGTGGTTATGGGGGGAGTGAGAGACATTTGGGGTACACCTTTTGTTTACTCCTAGCATTTTCCTATATTTTAGTACCCGTATGAAATATGATATTTTAAAAATAAGATCATAGGTATATTTCTTTTCTTAGTACTCATTTTTAAATATAAATTTATATTTAAAATTTCAATGATAGTGTATAATTAGCTTATTATTTTCCAAATTTTATTTATATTTAAAATTTCAATGATAGTGTATAATTAGCTTATTATTTTCCAAATTTTTATATATTTAATTTTTTTTACATATTTGCTACTCCCTCCGTCCCAAATTATAATGTCTGTTCACTATTCACAGGGTCACACTTCATTCACTTTCTTTCTCTATTTTCGTTAGCAAATTGATAAAATAAAATATTGTTGTCACTACTAGTTTTGTAGATCTTTTTTTGATGTAGTATTTTGATATGTAATTTTTATTTTAAGGATCACTATTTTGATTCATGGCAATCTTCACCCGCGTCGCGATTTAGACCTGGCCGCCTTGTCGCCCTCTCCCCACCCTTTGATTATCACAAATTCACAAGCCGATGATGCCAATAATCGCAGTATGTTAAATTTGTCTCTCCCCCTCTGTTCAATCTCTATTTATCTTCCCAGTTTCTTGATTCTACGTCCCCATAACAAAATTAACAAAAAGGTGTTTGTTTTAGACTGGTGGAATCTTCAAGGTTGCAACTTTTCTCCTTTCTGAGCTTGGGATGTTTTTGAATTCCAAGAGCCTGAGTTTTCTTTTTTTGCAGATCTTCAAGAGCTTGCTGAATTTAGGGCTTTTTTCTTGGGCTCTTTCCTAAATCATAAGTTTTGATTTTGGTCACTCTCATTCTTGTGTATGTGTTTTCTTTACCTTTTCCTCTCCTTTTTGTCCTACTTAATCTTTTCAAGTGCTTAATTGAGGGATTATTTGCTTCGGGAAATCTGATGCAAGGATCTGTTTGTTTATGCTGCAGCTTATGTATTGAAAGTCCAAGTCTTTATGGAAAAAAGCATGTGGGCATTCTTGAATCTGCACAATTCTTGTCATGTTAGGTTTGCTACGCTCTTATTAAATACAGACTTTCTGTTTGTGTATTCCATTATGGTTTTCTGGTTTGGACTTTTAGCAGGAGTAATTCAAGATAGAGTGAGTTTAAATGTGTTTATAATTAGTGAGTTTACAGTGTTAATTTTTAATAATCCAAGGTTTTTTGTAGAGGGTGCTTGTACTGGCTGAAATAAACATAAACCACATCACATATGCAATCTTCCAATAACTAAGATTAAAGTCTATTAACACTATGTTGTTTGGTTCAAGGACTTTTGAAAGGGAAAAGAAAATAAAGTGAATTTCTTGTTTGGTTAGAGAGGAAAAGAAAGGAAAAGTGGAAGGAAACGAAAATGAGAAGGATAAATACACTAAGAGGAGCGAAAACCAAATTCTCCTCATTTTGGTGAGGAAATTGAGAGAAAATCACTTTCTTTTCTTTTTCTTCCAAATTTCTTGAACCAAACATAGTGTAACTTTCAAATTTTAGAACCTTGCAAACACCAAAAATGAAAAGGCTTGTTGTTGTTGTTTAGGACCCAAGTTATCTCTGGAAGCTAAGATTAAAGTCCATTCAGTGTCAAGTTTTAGGGGATAAAAGCACTTATATTAATTGGTAAATACATATCATATCACCTTCAAGGCCTTCTAGTTTGGGCAATAACATATTAACATGCACTATACTACCAAACACTGTCTATGTCAACATATTTCCATGTACTAAAAGGACTAGGCATATTAGCATTTTAGTTCTAATGTCAAGCTAAAAGAACAATAGACACATAGTTTAATGTTAAGCTAAAAGAAGAAGAATAGATACATCTTAAGACATTGCGTTGCATTATATTACGAGTAGCATTCTGCAGGGGTTGTGGGGCCTGCTACGGTTGGTTGCTGCTGCTGTCTTGGTGGCCATTTGTGGGGGGGCGTGCTTCGCGGCAATCTTTATAAATCGCCTTTGCCAATCTTACAGCTAATGTAATGCCTACGGATATTATTGGTTTCCATGTTTCGTATGGCATCAAGTTTCCAATTGCGAATGATGCAATGACGAGCAACCAATCACCAGCCAACATCATCTTTAACAAACGCAATCCCCACAAGCAAATGAGGTTCTTCAATTCTTCGAGCGACATTATTAATGACTGCATTAAATTGAACCAGATATGGTATTAGTTAATAGAACATGGTATCAAATAAAGTATTGAATGATAAATGCCCTAACACTATGTTTGGTTCAAGGAATTTCAGAGGGAAAGGAAAAGAAAATGTGAAGGAAAACATTTTTCTTGTTTGGCTAGAGAGGAAAAGAAAAGAAAAGTGGAAGGAAAAGAAAATGAGAAGTCAAAATGTACTAAGATGAGAGAAAACCAAATTCCTCACATTTTGGTGAGGAAATTGAGTGAAAACCGTTTTCTTTTCTTTTCCTTCCAATTTCCTTGAACCAAACATAGTGCAAGTGTTGTTCTTTTTTTCAAAAGTAATGAAATACAATAGTGTACTCCCTCCCTAGTGGTTTTGGCTACTAAATTTGAATACAGAGTATCATACATACTAAAGAGTTTGGGACAATATTTACTCGCAATCAAAGAGACCCTTGATGTAAAACACACAAGTAATAGTCGATGGAATACGATTTTAATCAGAAGACATTTGTTGATACTAACAATGTTCATATAATGATTTAAAGATACAAAGTATCACTTAGTTTATGCTTCTTTCATCTGCCCTCGAAAAAAACAGAACAAGGCAATTATGCATGTGATCAAATTATGTAATCTGTATTTCTTTAAAAATTTTACCACATAATAGTCTTTTATGCAATAAAATAAAATATTGTTGTCACTAATAGTTTTGTAGATCTTTTGATGTAGTATTTTGATATGTAATTTTTATTTTTTTTAACTCTATGTCATTTGTCATATAAAATGATTTGAAAATAATTTCAGTCAAATATCGTAAACCGAAATAGGAGTTATAAAATGGGACGGAGGAAGTATTTTTTTATACCAATATATTGATTTAAAAGTAAATTCATAGATTGAAGCGTCTTGTAATAAACAGGTTCATATAAAAGTAATGGTACGTGGGTTAAAAAATTAGTATCTGTCATATTATAGTTTAAACAATGGATCTATGTATCAATAACCATGTCCATATAATAACTTTAAAATATTTAAAATATATGGAAGACGATTATGTATATGATCAAAGTATATCTATCATATGAACAAAATAGAACATATTATAATATGAAAACATTATATGATGATATTATATACAAAATCAAATCATATGATCAAATTATATAATCTATCATGTGAGAATATCCACTGATCAAAACTAGTATAATAAGTGAGCAGTAATTAGCAAGTATTCATGGCTCCCAACTTGTTGGAAGCGAAGTAGACCGCATGAAAATGGTCAAATTCATAGTACATGAGACATAAAGGAGTATGATCGGATTAATTAAATTACTTAGGGAAGAAGAAATGGGTAAACAAAACAAATAAAGAAACAAAAACAGAAGTTTTGGGGTAAATTAATCAAAAGCTGCAAAGCTTTTCAGGAGATTATTTACCTTTGTTTTGCCAAATTATCTCTGCTTCAAAGCCCTTTTCTCTTCTCCTCTTTTTACAAAATTCCGAGGGTGCCCTCTGTTTATATAGAAGCACATGGTTCCTCCAGCTAATACATTAAACCGACTTTGCTAAATGTAATGGATTTGGGCCTTGTGTTTACATCAAATTGACTTGGCCAAAAGAACTGAAGTTGGGCCTCTTTGCTAAAACGTAAAAAGGTCTTTGTGGACCGAGCTGGTCCTTCATCAGATTCAAGTCCCCCAAAGCAATTTTTCCCAACAATATGTCATATACATAACCCTGATTGAGTATATATACACATTAAAACATATATAAGGAGAACACTTCCTATGCATCATCATTAAAGTCTTGGGATGGGAATTAACAAGAAGAGAATGTAATAATTGTAAAGAGTTTGTATGTTGTTTTTTGGGGACTTGAGCTTCTTCTTCTTCTTCTTCTTCAGGCTTGATTTCCTCCATTAGTCTCCTCCTCCACTGGAACATCTCCTGAGAACTGATGAGTATTTGCAGCAGCTTGAGATTCCTCTCGGGGGATTCCTTCTTCAAGCGCTCTTGCCGCTTCGCCCTCTTGTTGAGCCGCTGCCTCCGCCGCCCTTCTCAAGTAGGCCTTCTTGAAATCCTTATAGCAGGCCAGCAGCAGTCGTAGGAGGAGCGAAATGCACTCCACCGCCGTGCTCTTGCGCGTCGCGTCTTTGATTGGCAGAAGCACGCCGGCGGCAAAGGAGATGCCGGCGATGAGCGATTCCTCGGTGGCCAAGATGGTCAGCGAGTTCAAGAAGCAGAGTATGAAGGCCGTGTAGAAGACAGTGACGGCCAGCGAGCGGTGGCGCGTCTTGAAACGCTCGCTCACCCACGAAGCACCCACAGCACCTCCTGCCGCCGCGGCGTAGCCGAGGTAGTCCTGGTGCCTCTTGATTCTCCCCGCACCTCTCATCTCCCCGTACGCGTCGATGCAGTGCCTGGTGTAGACGCTCCAGCCGTGTCGGAAAGCAAACCATGTGGCTGCCGAGGAGAAGCCTATGAGGAACGTGGGCCACAGCTGCGCGTACAGTGCGGGTGGGAAGACGACCAGAGCGCAGCCGAACAGGACGCACCCCCGCAGGGCCTTCGCCCATTTCTCGATTGTTTCGAAGATGTTCATTGATTCTGCATCAAGACTATATACTCCCTCCGTCCAAAAAAGAACTTCCCGACGCACTTTAAGAAAATCTGAAATTGTCTTTGACTTTCCCATATTACCCTTTAGTGGGTTTGGGCGTGATATGTGCAAAAGAAAAAAGGAAGATAAACTTTTTGATTTGATACATAATGATTAAAAAATCAAAAGTAAAAGTACATTGCAATGATTAAAAATCCTTCATATTCCACATTACACGGCACTTTTGAGTGCCCAAATTAGCAAAAAAATTAATTTACCTCCACAAAGTTAAAAGTTCCCACCCAAATGTAAAGTCTATAAGTACTTTCCATTTTTAGATTTCCATTTTTAGATTTCCAGCACTGCATCATTCTTTGTTTCCTTCTCCACTGCCAGGTTCTTTCTTTTTTTCTTCATTGCCAAATTCTTCCTTTTTGTCTTTGTTTGTTCCTGTCATGTGAGAATTTTTGTCTCCAAACTTTCTTCTCTTCCTACCATGTGAGGGAGCTTTTCTTTTTCCCTTTTCTAGTGCTGCCTTCACAGCCATATCAATCTCCGGGATGGAACCGTCAATACCAACACAGACACTGCACACAGATGAAGAAAACACACAAGGTAAAAGGAAAAAAACTGTCAAACTTGGAACGACAAGGAATTATCGACAAGTTGCTACTACAAGCAAAAACAAACATCATGGGCACGCAAACTGCTCAGAGGGGCTCTGTCAAAAGTGTGGCTGCTGAGTTCAATGTTAGTAGAAGGACAATCACTTCGTTGTGGACAACAGCTAAGGAACAACTACAAACAGGCAGTTGCATTGACGTAAGAAGTAG